TGTCAAATTCATCGTCAGGACCATTTTGAAGCCAACAAGTGGCCGCCAACCTTGATTGCAAAATTTAGTCGCCGCGGGGGATTGAACCATCAAGAGTATTATTCACCACTTTTTTGGTACTACTAAAACCGTTCAGCGAAAACGAAACATGGTTTTGTGGTCCATACATGCGTCCCTACAACATGTACTAAACCGTTTCCAAAAAGCGCACCTTGCCCTGAAAGACCTCCCTTGTAAATATTGTATAACTTCGTATTATGTATGCTATACGAGAGTTCTTGTGGCGTATTCCCCCAGACAACATGCGGTTTTCAAAAAGGTTCATCCTTCTCACCTCCCCTCTCCAATCTTTTCTGGCCTACACAGTATCCTTCCGAGCCACCGATGCTGCTTTTAAGAAAGGCAAGACATCTTAAAAGCTGACAATGAGTATGAGAGGGCACCACCATACCGCTTTACATTGAATTTTCTGGATGAAAATCTTAGCAGGTAGCAGCTTACCGAGAATCGTGCAAACTACTCAACAGTCATTGTATAGAAAATGTGATCGTTTCAACAACAACATGTTTCTAGCCAGAGAATAGTTCAGCAGGTTTGAGAGGCAGATTCAAAAACTGCATTCCAAGTCGCATGTAGGAATATACGACCCCTTTTATTGGCCATGACGACTTCGAAGGGCTTTCCTTATTCCCGAATTGTGCTTTTTCCTGAACAGCGCTGTTCGTGCGTCGAATTTGTCGATCAAAGATTTCTTAGTATCGTGTTTTACCGTAAGCTCATTAGTATTTTGTTGTTGAATTGCACAAAGGGACACCGAAGATTTATCCCAAAGGAATTCCAAAACACTCAAAGAAACGTCGAAAAATCAGGTCCGAAAGAATTTTTCGGAAGGCTTCTTCCATATTTCCATCTATGTTACCTACGTCAGGCTTGAAAAACATTGATTATAAGCAGTCCATATTCTTACGTTCTCCTAACGCACATTGCTTTGTCTAAGCCATTTGTACGTAGAGCTACTCTTACAGGTACCTGCGCCGCGAGGGTTCATGTATTCTAATCACACACGAATATGGGGCAGAACCTCTTGGAAAAATTCTTTCTTGACCTGATTTTTGCCGTTTTTGAAGTTCTTCGGAATCTTTTTCGCCTGAGCAACCTTTGGCGACTCCTGAATTAATCCTTTAGATTCTCACATATTTGAAATGGAATCCGAATACTGCATGACGGATCGTGGAACCATTTATGAGTTGAGTGAATACTGTTAACCAGTTGACCTTTTGATATTTTGCCCTGCAGCAGCTCCCTTTCCCCCAGGAGGCCCGTCGCGCGGCAAGAAGGCAGAGTCGGCGGACGAGTTGCAGCGCGTGATGTGCGATGTAGGACGTGCAATGGGACACTCTATTTAACTTGACGCGAAATCCCTATAGTACGCGCGCGACTCGTCCGCTGACTTTGCCTTCTTGCCGCGCGACGGGCCTCCTGGGGTACCCTTTCTGAAATATTCTGCAGGACCGGTTTTTGTGGATCTGGTTACTTGGGCAGCACAACAACGGTGTTGGGGTGTTCATGAATCCGGTGGTTGGCTTGTCGGGGGTGCCGTGCGGATTTGCATGCTAACGAATTGTAATCGTCACGTTCACTGTCATTCCTGGTTCCCTCGTCATCTCGTTCTTTGCTGGTAACCCGAACTGGGATGCTATGTAAGCTGAAGGTTCGCCTCTTTGAATGCCACCACTTTGTCTATCAACTCCTTCATTTATCCCACTTGGGTCTTCTGGTCGTATATAACAAATATGTACTGGGTTACAGTCGCCGTAAACTTACTACAAGAAGCACATGAATCCAGTCCCTTCAAGGATTTGGGAAACTGAACATCAAAAGAACATCCTTACATCTTTGTTTTCTTCTCACATTTTAGTGACGCTTTTATCCTGCCATTAAAAGTTCTATTCCAACAGAATTTTCACGTGTTGCTCCTCTTTGCGTTTCGAAATCTCAACGGATGACTCAGCTGTGAAAAAAGTGGTTCTTCCTGATCAATTTTCGGACTACGCCATCCATTTGGCTGCAAAGTGGAGTTGTTGAGGCACTTCAGCCTGTGTTTGATCCATGCATCTCTTCAAACTGTACCCCTTTCTTCTTGGTGTCCCTGAGCAACGTTTAGGTCAAACATTCTGTTTCCAAAAAGCTCCGACATAGCTTAATCAGCGGACCCACGCCGTTGTGCTCTCTAGTAGTAGAGATAAGAATAAGAGCGTTCATGACATCGCTCATTTGAGCGAACTTCGGCGCTCATGTCGTTGGGGGGGGGGGGGGCATGAAGTAAGTGAGCCACTTATAGAACTTGAGACCAAGCCTTTAGGGATTCCGAGGCAGGACATTAGCAGCTTTCCTCTCTCGGACAGTTCTCCCCTCTTATTTTCCTTGACGTTCTTCGCGCTTCCGGCTATTAGTTAGCCTTGGTGACAGCACCCACGGTTTTGAAAGCCCTGTTTGATATCGCCCGCCCTAAGGACATTGAAAAGCGCACAAATCTGGTGATTACCAGTAGTGCGAAGGTACTCCGAGGTGCTTAAACATTTTGGTCTGCTATGGTTCAAGGAAACGGTTTGTAAGCCAGGGAACATCTGTGCCTAGGCTCAAGAGTGCAGGAGCCCCACGGGGACCATCATGGCAAGAAAAATGTGAACCTATCGGTCTTTATTAAATGTACACGTCAAATGAGTCCTTCTATCCTCACATCTACCTTTAGTGTTGGAGAAGCCCCGAAGTGTTTTCTGATAGCAAGGGTAAGATAGCAAGGAGTGCTCCCCCTGAACTCCATTTTCGCCCTGCGCTTCTAGTCACTACACCGTCCACCTAGGAAGAGCTCTACTTGTTGGTTCGTTTGTCAACGATGCGTAGTTCTCGTCTGGACTGAAACGTTGGTCTCAAACCTACTTCACTAATCTGTAACGTCAGATTTTTTGAACGGCACTATTGAGCGAGATGACATCTGTAGCAATAAGGGCTCACAGTCACGAGGGTGTGAAATTGACTCTTTGGTGAACTTGCCCTCTTGTTATTTCGTCTTGACTTTTCACTGAATCATGATGTGAATGGCCGTGGCGACGGGAGGGCTTTCCCCTTTAGCTTAATTTGATGGGGATCGATGCAGAAGTATAGCAGTGATCTTGCTGAGCTTTTCTAATTATTCAGTTTTGTGTTGGAACATTCAATAACCGCGCCAGCTGATGATGTAATATAATAATTGATTATTGGTTAAGTACTGTTACTGTCGCGTAACACGTCGATCGCTCCAACAGAACCCTGGGCGCGCCGGCGCCTGCGAAGTACTGCCGACATGACCCCGTCTGATCTATCCGTGATCGTGCGGCAACGCACGGGCTGTTCGCAACAGCACCATCACGGCCCGGCCCGGTGTTCCCTCTACGTCTTACGGTTCTTCCCCTTCGCTCTCTCGTTCGGCAGTCTCGCAGGGCGTTAGCCCTTAGAACTAATTCTGCTGATGTTATTCCTAGTCCAAATTCAGTGTGGTCGAATCGGCGGGTCGAAGAAAGCGACCCGACGTGAGTTAGTTCCTTGTTTAGTGTTTACTAACATTTGAATATGGTTTTATTAGTTCATTAAAGATGACTTGTGATCATAAAAATTAATAGTTCTGTGCTCGCGTACTGTAGCAATACGGGTAAAAGCCCACAGTGTTTGTGTATTGGGTCGTTACCTTCTAGTCAGTTCGTTGGCTCATTCGGTGCTCTAGTTCATTTTTAAGTAAGTGGTCGCCGCGGGACATTTACTGTTTGGTTGCTAAGGCTCACGTTCCTTAATAAGCACCCGGTTTCCACCCTTGGCCACCCGCAGGTCCTCTCCTGGACCCACCGATTCGCAACAATCACTGAGAAAGCAAGTATTATGAAATGCCATTTGACTTAGTCCTCTGGGTATGCGCATTTCATCATGCAGAATACAAGAGATCAGTGCAAACCTGGTCGAATAAACTCCATAATAGCGTCCTAGCAGCTTAAATTTCGCAACAGTGGACTACGTGAAATGGGTAGCTCAGGTAATGTGTAATGGGTATTTTGTTATTACCTTGCTGCACTCAGGCCCTTTTTAAAATACTTTTTCTTCCAAATTCTTTTTCATTGAGCAAAAACAATATTCAGGAGAAGATGACCATGAAGACTAGAGAGCGGCGAGCGACGTTCGGACGTGAACCAGCTCGATCGGCTTCGGTTCCACCACGGAAGAGATGGTTTCGCAGAGTGAGGTATTTTCGGCCTGTTCGGTCTCGATTTATCACATTTACTTTATTCCTACTAGGGCTCGACGAAATTCCAGTCTACGAGGTTAGAATCATCTAAATGCCTCTGAATTCCCAGATCAAACCCCATAAAAAAACAACATTATTTCACACAGTCGAAACATGACCCACTCTGGAATCAACTTCCAACTTCACCCATTTCTGCCCCTCAGTTTCCACATCATTGCCTATCCATCGCTATCACTGTAACACCCATTGTAATGATGGTCATCGAGTTCTTCGAGCGACCAGTGGCCTCTATATTCGTCCTGCCTCTATATTCGTCCCTGTTGCGTGCCGGATCGTCATAAATTTTAAGCATCAGTAGCCCGACATGTCATTTATGCTTCGTCGCAGTACGGCTAGGCGGTAAGACGCGCTACAGAAAGTTCATTGAGTGTTGGTGGAACGGTAACTAGTCTTCTTCTTCTTCGAAGAAGAAGAAGAATAAGGTAACTAGTCAGGATAAGCAAATGCAAATTATTGAAAAATGAATTAAGTATTTCTACTTCCACCTCTTTCATGAGTAAACAATTCATAAAAAAGAAATGTTGACTGTTTATTGTAGTTCAAACAATCACGTCTCTCCTATTCTTGTTTGTTTGTCAGTACTTTGTATGGAGTACTTAAAGGCACAACCCAGGCAAAGTCGTATGAACCATCCTCTTTGGTCTGTAGGATAGACCCCTAGAGGACAATCACAGATGTGGCACTCCCGTGCATGGAAATCACCCGACAAGGGCGCTAGGGCCTTGCAAAGTTAGCTGCAGCAGCTGCAATTTTACCCGTCTACGACAGGATGTTGTGTTGCCCCCTTACTTGTTGCATTCATACTTTCCTCTCCGCGCTCAGTCTCATACTTTCCTCTCCGCGCTCAGTCTCTCACTGCCTCAGCACAGCCGCATTATGAAGGTGAGCAAACTCTTTACCAAAACCTTTTCGACAGAGCTTTTCCATTTTCTTTATTGCTGGTCAATTCGTTTTTTGTTCTCATTTCACTTGTTGTTGAATATGTAATAAATATAAATGCAATGTAGTTGTTGTACTTTCCAACGATCTCAGTCGATGATGATGATGTTTTAGCATCGTTTGGGCGAGTTCAATCACATGAGGCGGTATGTGACGATGTAACTCGTAAACTGGTAGGAGCAATCACCACATGGCACGACATCCACAGCAACCTGCTCCGCCTGAGCATCGGTAAGAGACCGCGTTGAAATCTTACCAGCATGTGATTCTTGCACTCCTGAATGTGGGCTATGAGATGGGTGAGACTAGTGCTAGTGTGGAGGAAGATGCACCTCTTAGGTGATGAAGGGTGACATCTGCAGAGCCCTGAGCTGCGTGTGAGAAACTTCCAGCGAAGTTAAATTCATTTCAGAAAACAGGTTGGTCTATTGTCAATTAGGCGAAATCATACGGTCCCTGTTTTATATATTAGCCGGTGATTAACCCATCTATCAATTTCGCTCCTATTTCGTGCGTTTTAAAAGATCGGCTCGAAACCTGACATTCTACCATTTTGCCCGCATGCACTCTTGCTGCCACTCGACATAAGCTCAAAAAGCTATTGGGGTTTCATCATGCCTTAGGAGCATGAGTTCATGTCCGCCGTGAGGTTACAATCGGGCTTACGCTGCGCGCATGTCTCGCCACAGTCCATGGGGGTTAACTACAAAACCAGCAGCCCTATGTTTCGATCAATCGTATCTGTTGACCTTACGCTTGCAAAACAAAGTCCTACGATCGGTGCCTTCAACCTAGCCTATGTACGTTTCTTATATTCTACACGATCGATAATGTAAAACATAATACACTCCGGTAGAAGTAACCCGTTGGATGACATCAAGACGAACGACATTGAAACATACAGTTCATTTGGTAAAATATATATAATATACATAATATATAATATATATATATATAATATATAATATATATAATATATAATATATATAATATATAATATATATAATATATAATATATATAATATATAATATATATAATATATAATATATATACTTTTCTAGAAGTAGGAACACGGCCTAAGAACTCATGGGTCCAATCTAGTGCTCAGACCTTAGAGGGGGAGACGTGGTAGCGGTCCTGCGTCCATCTCGAGCATCTATGCCCATCTGCCTGACGCATGGTACCAGAACAGCGGCGTACGACGAACAGCAGGACTGCGACGGAAGAGCGAAGAGCGCAACGACCAGACTCGGCGAGATCGACGTGAAGACTGACTGGACTGCGAAGGCACGTGAGCTCTGCTTCTCTGTCTGTCTTCCCGAACCTTCGATCGGACGAGCGCACTGAGACCCGCGCGCACCCTACCAGGCGCGACCCTTTATAAAGTCGTGCGGAAGTCACGACATATTAGAGCTCCTATGCCTGCTAATGTAGCCTATGACCAAACCGGATACTTTCACATTTAAGGGGATTGCTGCTGATAGAAGGGGGCCTTGTTCTGGGCGTTATCGATGGTTTCATTTACTTTCTTTTTCAGATCACTTTTCACCTGAAGTTTCATTATGGTGTGCCCCTGGACACCGATTTATATCCCGGGGCCTGCTTTTAGGAGTGGAAGTTTAGTATTTGAACAATGCTACCTAGCACTTGGCATCCCCTTTAAGCGCTTAATATTATTTCGAGGCTTTCGTGAACGCTGTCACTACCAAGATGTCTTTAAATGTGTACACTTTGAATCAATAATGGTTAGTAGTCAGACAGAATACGCCTGCTTTTTAACGGACCAACAGGGAAGCATTCAATCCATGAAACTTCAACTAGACCCAGCGTGTTTCGAAGTTTAAACGCTGATTACAACTGTGGAACTAAAATTGCCAAAATTGAACAAATACAAGGAGGACCTGAAAAAGAAAGTTGCTTGAATGTGAAGCATTACCTGCATGAACATGTAGCCTTTCGGACATTCAAATCGTGTGAAGGGGTAGTGTTTTCGAAATTGCCACACCAAGTGGAACAGATTTTGTGATCTCCTAGGTGAAGATCGAGGGAATTTCCACTACTCCGCGTCAACTCTGAAAGCCTGGGGTCATATGCAACCTTTACTGTACTATTTTATTTTAACATATTTTGACTCTCACAACTTACTGCAGTACTTTGCAGTTTTAGGTTCCTATTTATAATCAAGCATTGAAGCGAACATCTTGGGTCAGACGCAAGTTCAATGGGAAGTTGATGCCTTACTGGAAGCTTAAATTTTGAAGTAAGAGGAGAACGAGTAGACAGCATGCCCCAGCTATTGAAAGTAGGGGGCATTGTGGTGGCAATGCATTTCAAGCCGCGTAAAACATCCATTCTGTGAAAAATGGGACCACATAGATGGAGAAGCCGAGACTCTGGACGCGTGCGTGAACTGTGACAAAAATTGAATTCTCAGAAACTGTATGAAAAGTCCATTCAAAAGCCATGGAATCAAGGATTTCTCTGTCAGTTGTGTGATCATCAATAACTCTTCAGTTCGATCGCATTGTTCGCACGAGCGACAATCCATGACGTCAACGATTCGAGGAAGACGAACCAGACGTATGCAGTTTATTTGATGTTTTTTTTTTCATTTTTCCGATATAAATATCCGTATGTATGATGACCCACCGAGTAGAGATCCTGCCTATTGTTTGGACTTTTCGAGGGGACTCGGATTATCATCAACAAGCATCCGTCGGGATCGCATTGCAGCGTTATTATGGATATTACAGTGGAAGTATGAGGATTTAGTCGTTCAAGTGCCAACAGAAATACCACAATATGGATGATGAAACGCATGGGTATTGTTTGCAGATGGAGGTCAAGAAGTCCTTGGTACCAAACCACTACATTATGACACGTCGAGTATCTCATTTGCCTGGTGTTCTAGCACCTCATCTGATCGATGTTCAGAATCCCGCAATACAATATGTTCTTTTCTTGACCCGTCCAAATCTTACAGTCGTTCAAAGGCAGTGGGCTGCAAGCTTGCTTGCAAGCCAGCAAACGACACTTTATCAAATATCGGGAGATGCAGACGATGATAACAGCAGCATCGCGCCCATTAAACTTTTACAAGAGCTATAGAGCTTTATTTTTACATTTGAAAAGTTCAATCCTTAAGTGATCAACTGATGTGAGGTTTGGCAACCTAGAAGCGTTGTGGATTTATCTGTATTCCCTCGAATGATCCATCTTTACGCTTGTGTTGGGTAGGTTCCTTAGATGAAATTGCATGCTTGTCATAACACAGAATCATAAGTATTTAACGCCCCCATACATTTTTTTTTGAGTAAAAGCAGATCCTCACTATGCATTTCGACCCGATTGCAATTTGCGATTTACTATGGCGAGCATACACTGCGACGCATAATTATAGTTCCACCTACAAATTTCCCAAAAACTTGAATCTGGGGATGTTTTTGGAAAAGGCTCTACAGATAAATTGTGACACATATAAACGCGAATCTGAATATTAACACGAAAGAGTTGAGGGGGGGGGGGGGGGGGGGGGGGGGGGGGGGGGGGGGGGGGGGGGGGGGGGGGGGGGGGGGGGGGGGGGGGGGGGGGGGGGGGGGGGGGGGGGGGGGGGGAGCAACAATTTTTATCCTTATTTTTTCGAAAATATCCGCTTTAGCTTCTCCGCTGCATTTTGCTTTTACCCAATCAAAATTTGGAATTATTATCCATTCAAGTTCCTTAGCTTATAGCAAAGGCAAAACCGCTGTCACACTTCCGTAAAAGGGAAATCCTAGCAAAAGAGACGCAGGAATTGTCAAAGTGTCAGCTCCGCTGGAATTTGTCGGGGTGACTTCATAACGAACAAATTTCTCAAGGATGCTACAGGATATGACTGGGAGGAACCCTGATTACTATCCGACTGAGCGCCGTATCGTGAGAAAATGATATGCAGCCGGGTACTGAAATTGTAGGTGGAACTATAATTATGCGTCGCAGTGTGCGTAAGTTGATAGGGTAAGGGGCATAAATTATGGGTTTGAGGACAAACGAGCAAGCTTACTCAAGGATTTTCTTTAGATGTGACTCGTAGGTAGTAGAGTGTTACTTCCTAATACACTAATCCTACATTACAGACCCGAGAACTCACTTCACCCATGGCCCACACACCAAACTCTTCGGAGCGCAGAGCGCCGCTGTTGTTGGAAATTTTCTCACAATATTACTTAGATAGCCCCCATGCAACTGAACAATCGTGCTGACAAGGGACTTGTACAAATCGAAATGGCCAGCTGTTTTGATAGGTTCACAACAGTAGGCGAGCAGCTCCTTCAATTAACCTACGTCGTCAGAAAATGACATCATCTGCCATCACAGCCTAGCTCAGGGAGGCCTACCGTAATCGCTTTAGCCTGGAGCTGCTGCATAATGGATGGATAGCTTCCTAGAGACAATAAACTTGCGACTAAGTAAGGCCACTTTCGACCGTAATTTTGTATAACTTCGCAATATGTCGTGCCCCGTGGACGGGGTCGAGCGCGTGCAAGCGCGTGCATCGGTGATCTGTCCACGGGACCCGGCAAAACGTGGGATTCCAATGGGTGCCCACAACACCTCTGAGGGAATGCGTGCGCGGCGAATGCTCTGAATTCCGTGCCTGCTGCGAGCTCAATCACAGGGCCTTATTCCCTGACCCCAGCAAGTACGTCGTGTACTTGACGCGTGCGATAACCCTGATGGAGCTGGGCGAGAAATGCGGTATGCTGCGTGCAGTGTAGATGTAATTGACCGTTGACCGACAAGATGCTAGGCGAATAAGCGATAAGCGGATGTAAACCTGATTGCGAATGTAAAGCGAAGATACTTATTAACCTATTATATCAACACAGAATAGACAGAATTACAATAACCCTTCAGACAGCCAGGGGTCTGCGCCTAACACAGTCGACGCTCAGTCTGACTGCGCGCGCATGAAGCTGCGTTGCGGCATCCTCCCGCGCATGGCCTGGAGCATCTTTGCTCGAGGTCGTGCGCAAGTCACGACACCCCGATCCGTCGGGGCATAGCGAAAAATGCTCTCGTGGGATAATGTTCTGATGCCATCAGTGTAGAAGACTATCATAAAGTTCTTTGACTAGGTGGAATGCGCTCTCCAAATCTCAATCGAGTTTATTTGAGTTTATTTAGTTTATCTAATCGGAGTGCGATTATCGATTTTAAAAATGGTAGGATGGTGACTTTTTTTGCTCCTCTCTCCCCCGTATAGTT